AAAAAAATCAAATTTTGATAAAAATACATATATGATATATGTCTTAGGATTATAATAATGGAATAAAAATATTATATCTTTTGACATTAATTTTTCTGTACTATTTTGCATAAGAAATTTATTTGTAAGTTAGTTTATTTTAAAAGATTTGATTTCATAAAATGCTCGGAAAGAAGGTAATCGAAGATAATATTATAATATTTATTTTGTGACTTAATAAAATTATTTCATTTAGAGAATATCCTTTAATAGAACATCTTTATTATAGCAGCAAATATAAAAGTACCAAGCTACTTTACCGGTTATGCTTACCGGTTACTGTCTTTGGAAATAATTGAGAGAAATGCCGTTTCTTTTTAGATAGATTCCGAAGACAATTAATATAAGAGACATCCCCAAAAAGTTTGAATTAACAATTGATAATTTATACAAAAATATTTATTCCTTAAGGGGATCCAAAAGCTCGTCTGTTTTACCGACCATAATAATTAATATTTGCTTAATATAAAAGTTTTGCAGTTTGTATGCGCAAAATAGAATAACTTCGTCTTCGGAATTGCATGAAAGAATATAGGTGAACGTTTAAAAATGTATTTAGAAGCCTAGTAAAAAACATTTTTAAACGTTCACCTATATTCTTTCATGCAATTCCGAAGACGAAGTTATTCTATTTTGCGCATACAAACTGCAAAACTTTTATATTAAGCAAATATTAATTATTATGGTCGGTAAAACAGACGAGCTTTTGGATCCCCTTAACGAATAAATATTTTTGTATAAATTATCAATTGTTAATTCAAACTTTTTGGGGATGTCTCTTATATTAATTGTCTTCGGAATCTATCTAAAAAGAAACGGCATTTCTCTCAATTATTTCCAAAGACAGTAACCGGTAAGCATAACCGGTAAAGTAGCTTGGTACTTTTATATTTGCTGCTATAATAAAGATGTTCTATTAAAGGATATTCTCTAAATGAAATAATTTTATTAAGTCACAAAATAAATATTATAATATTATCTTCGATTACCTTCTTTCCGAGCATTTTATGAAATCAAATCTTTTAAAATAAACTAACTTACAAATAAATTTCTTATGCAAAATAGTACAGAAAAATTAATGTCAAAAGATATAATATTTTTATTCCATTATTCTAATCCTAAGACATACATCATATATGTATTTTTATTAAAATTTGATTTCTTTATATCTGTACATTACTATCATCTGTTGATAGCTTAAATTATTGTGGTTCGTAAAATTCATCTGGGACATATACCGTGAGAGAAATACTCTATCTGCTGTAGTTACTGCAGATCGTTACTATTTAAGCAGCAATCTATCTTTAAAATTAATAGACATTAAATTGCATTGTGTGAACGCATGATAAGTGAAAGTAATGATGCAAACGTATCATGATCCACTTTGCCCTCTTGGTGATTATGCATTTGACATTTGCAGAGGGTGATTTATTGCAATTGCTATCGTGAATGATAATTTGTTGTAATTTTAAGCCTAGAATATAAAGTAGGACTATCAGAGAGCACAATTTGAAATACATCAACATGTTTTACTAGCAAAATAACACATCTTCCTTTAAATTAATAAATTTGAAGAAAGGCTGATTTTATGGAAAGCATGCGATATGTGTATTGGTATATATATTTTTAATATAATTATATTTTACAAACGAGATATGGGATTTTAATTTATTAATTTTTACTTATTAATTGTTATTATTGTATATTATTTTGCTCTTCTAAATAATGTATTATATTTTCACGATAATAGTTATATACATTTATGATCGGTCATCATACGTCATGGGATCGTGTTAGTGTCCTAGAATAAAGCAGACCGTGCAGCGACATAATTAAAAGATTAAATAACAGATATAATCTTCCAGAACAGTGTCGCTTCCTATTACTAAAACATGTCGTCTTTGCTATCTCATGTGCGCTAGAAAGTATATATCTAGCAATGTAGCGATCTCGAGAGAGTGAAGGTAAAACCTATATATTAAAGATGTAAGAAAGTTTATGAGCGTACAAAACACGTATTTCCCTCATTAATAAGAGGACACTAATAACGAAAACAAGTTTATGCACAAATTTTATTAGCATTAATCTACAGATATCGCGTTTATTAATAACGTTTGATTTACGGAGATCTTCTTCTCTCCTTTCTTGTAAATAAATTGCTGACTTGCTAATGATATTTATAAGCATAGGTCTGAATAAGTTTAAGAATTTAACCGTAGTATGTTAAATAACTATATAATTAAAGAAGTATATTGAAAGATATCGTATAATTATATAAGATTAATTTTTTAATTATCAAGTTATCACATGTTTGGAAAATTATTATTATTGTAGCATTTGCTGTATACTTTAAAAAGGATATTCTAAGCAGATGTTCCAATAAATTATGCGCAGAAAATGTACCATCTCCTCATGTTTATCGCTCAATAAATCTCCCATTTATGTCATAATCTAGATATCCGGAAGCGTGAAGCAGATTCAAAGCGCTCGCGCTTCCGCTCTCGACTTCCTCCTTCAACACGAGTATAACGAATTCTCGCAAATACTCATTTAGAAGGATCTTAATGCCGTCGTCACTACAAGAAATGTCGAACTATTTCTCGCATTACAATGTTAACAAGCCATTTACGAGCGCGGCTCTTTTTTCACATCACGTATTTTTCCCGGTCTATGCATCTTCGATAAAAGACTCGTGCTATCACATGATAAACTCTCTCCATATTTATCGATCTATCTTGAAAAGGCGCGAGCAATCTTTCGCGAGTAACGATGTGTGGTTTTTGCAGTTAATTACAGCCATGCGGTTGCTGCCGAGCGTTAAATATTTGACACGCAAACGCGTTGAAAAATGATAATGAAGATCGGTGATCCATGAACCATGATTAGGATCGCGTGCACATAGCAAAATTCATGCGAAACAAACGTGAAGCAATGCGAGCATTATTTTCTCCTTGTAATGGTGTTGGTAAATTTATCTTATATTTACTATCATATACGATCTCATTTCAGAATCCATTTCAAATGCAAATTTAAATGCCTCACAACATCATTATTTCTCCTTTATTATCTCTTCTGTGAAAACGTTTTGCACGATGATAATTTGTAATATCATCTTTGAATGAATCCATATAAGAGATCGTTTCAGATGATATGTCTACGTTTACTATAATCGGCTTAAATGGTTCAATATACAACTCAATAAAAAACGATCAATTAAAAAACAGTTTATATAACTTAGTATCAATATTATGTAAACTCCCCTTCATATCAGTCTTAGATATTAAAAATAACCTAGTTCATAATTATATAACTCGATATAGATGGAAACATTTATGTAATTTGAAATTAATCGATACACATTCACTCTGTGATAATAACGTTTACTATTTTGATTGATCACAAGTATAATTATGATTTTTGGAAAAATGTCGAGTGATCATTTTTTAGCGATTGCTGTAATTGGTCTTTCTATACAAGTTCTTGTATCGATGTGAAAAGTTTTTTGACACTTTTCACTTTCTGTTCACGACGTTATCTTGACAAAGCGGCGATGCATAGCAACAAATTCTAATTTATCGGATTTATGTTCCTTTCCAAGTGACTGCTTATGTTTCCGGCAGTAGACTTTGTCATGCGTTATGCGAGTAATACAGACTTTAGCGATAAAAATAGAAATGATTTAAAGATAAATAAAAAGTAATCGAGTTACTGTTATTAAATTTTCGGAAAATTGCTTCTATGACATTTAATCAAAAAAATAAATAAAATTTTTCCGTGAGTTTTATTTTTATATTTTATTTTTTTTTATTGATGTTTTTTTGAAATAATAGTTTTTATTCTGTTATTTTATGCAACAATGTCTACTATCGTTTCAAGATCATGGTCAAGAGAACCAATCCGAGAGAATATCAAGATTCCATAAAAGAAGTGAGCGGTTCTTGCTGTCGAAACAATAAATGTTACTACCTTTATAGGTAAATCTATTGGAACCAGCTCTTTCTAGTAGTTTTTCAAATTTTTGCTGTTCCAAAAAGGACAATTTCACTCGCGCGAGTAATAAGTAACAAAACGCGAAGGTGATTATCCCCTCTTGAAGAAATCATTGCGTGCATCTCTAGATCAGTAAGTACAACGTATCTGTGGCAACCATATATATAAGATGGTAAAAGTATACGACTGATCTATTTACTCTCAACTTGAGCAAGGTGCTTGAAGATTTTTCCCAAGAAATTGTTCTATTATCTCGTTCAGGATGAGACATGCGGTACGTTCTTATGCCGTTGGAAAGATTTAATAGTTTTTTGTGAATAAGTGTTGAAACTATGATATTGTGCAGATTTTTTTTTTTACATAGTGTTTGTGTCAAATTATTTTAAAAATAAAACAATAAGATTCTGTTAAAATGTGGTAGAAATTCTTTATCTGTGACATATATTAAAATAAGAGAATCTGTTATTTTATGAAATAGAGCATATATTAGAAGAAGAAGAGTAAATGGAAGTTTTTATTTTATATGTTATCAGATTTTTTATTTTAAAAATTTTATAGATAAAATATATAATGTAAATATTTTTAAGATTATATATTCTTAATTTTGTGTTTTTAAACTTGATACAATAATTTGACACAACACTATATATATATATATAAACATGTCATAGATTTATAAAATTATGTAGCTTTCGCTACTTGCAGGAACACGCGATGCTTTTATTATCACTCTTTGTGGCTATGGTGTCAACTTCTTCAATGTACGACAACTTTAATACATACGCATATAAGTACGATAATCTTCCTACAGCACAACAAAGGTATCAAATTATGCCTTTTCACATGAGGCACAATAGAGTCAATATTGCAAAAGGAAACATTCATATAAATAATATGAATGTACGCAAGACCAAACTAGATCAGTCAAAAGATAACGAATGTAAGTATTCTGATACGCTTCTAATAAAGTTAATGATGTAAGAGCTGACACATTCATTCATCTACATTGCATGCAATATCTTTTAGATGAGACATGACATTTAAAGACTTAAAATTCGATAAACATAAAGATAGCAAGCACAAAATGTTAAAAAAGTGGAGAAGTTGTAATGTGTAATAACATATTATTTTTATAATTATCTTGTAATTGTTTTTATTTGAATTTATTTATTTAATATGTTTGTCTTTTGATAGACGGCATAATTAATATTAATAAAAACTAAATATAATTTATATAAAAAAATAATTCCAGTTTCAGAATCTCATGTCGTATATTTAAAAAATGGACCTAAAAATAAGTACGAATTGCCAAAGAATTACGGTCATAAATTGGATGGCGGAGGTGAACAAAACATACACGATACTAAAATATTAGGTCATCATGTACACGAGAACATGCATAAAACTGTAACGATTATAAAGAAAATCGGGGTACCGTATCCCATCGAAAAAACTATCCCATATCCCGTGATTAAAAAAATATCGTATCCAGTTAAAGTGCCCGTTCCGCAGCCGTATGCGATTGAAAAGAAAATGCTTTATCCCGTGAAAGTCCTCGTCAAAGTTCCCGTTAAAATTCCGCGACCAGTACCGGTCATCAAAAAGATCCCGTATCCGATTAAGGTACCAGTGGATCGTCCCGTTCCAGTCAAAGTATATGTACCAAAACCGTATCCCATCGAGAAGAAAATACATTACGAAGTAAAGATCCCGGTACCAAATCCATTTCCCATAGAACGGAAGGTACCGGTACCGGTGAAGATACCGGTACATGTACCGGTACACGTACCTCAATTGTATCCAGTCGAGAAAGTTGTTCATTATCCTGTAAAAATCGCGGTGGATAAACCAATACCGGTTCCGGTACCAAAACCATATCCGATACCGATCGCGAACCCGGTCCCGTATCTTGTCGAGAAACCGATTCCTATACCGGTCAAAGTGCATGAAGAGAGGCCGGTATCAGTCCCGGTGGACAAACCCGTGTTGGTCAAGGTACAGATTCCCGTACCAGCACCATATTCGATTGAAAAAAAGATACCGTATTTTATAGAAAAATTCGTACCTGTACCGGTAAAGGTACCAATGCAGAGGCCTATACCGATTGACGTGAGCAAAGCGGTCGAGTATCACATCGAAAAACCTATTCCTTATCCGATTAAGATACCAGTTGCGATGCCAATAGATGAACAGGTGGATCATAGGAGTGCAAGAAATACTAATTCTAAAAAATATGGCCATTCATAAAAATAAATTATTCAATAGACGTTAATAGATTTATAGCTGCTAGAGGCTTTGTGAATTGATTAATTTTTGCCCAATTCTAGATACATTATTAATAGTTCTATATCCTGTATTAAAAATTTGTCTGTAAATCTTATGTTCCTTCGATTATCAAATCACATTATATAATATTAAAGAAACATAAAATTTACAGACAAATTTTTAATACAGAATACAGAACTATTAATAATATAGTTGAATATTTGTTATTGACTTCTTGAAGAGAAATTTATTTACTTTATATGAATTTTTTTACTTGAATGCATATGTGTAAAGTCACATATAATGTTATCTTTTAAAATATTATCTTCCGTATTATTATTACATTTTATTTACAATTACTGATGAAATTATTCTGATAATAATATATATTTTTGCCAGAAAATATTGTAAGCTGTAAAAATAAAAATGATTGTTATTGAATAAAATTATCCTCTTAAGCAAATCTAATCACTATATTCCAAATAGTATTCTAGATGCAATATGATTTAATTAAAAAAAATTAATGTAATTAAATTAACCTAACTTTTATTTTTGATTGTTATCTCTCTTAACAATTTTATTCAAACAATTAACGCGTAAAAAGGAAAATAATAAAAATAGAAATTGGTTTTAAAATCTAATTGAATAAATGCCGATAATTAATTTCTTGCGACATTCGTTTAATCATTAAAGTCTTCTTTCGAATCAGTCATTAAAGTCTCCTCTTGTCGTCAATTTAATTCCAGTCACTTTCGCCGCCTCGTAATTACAGCGAGACGAGGATTGACGGAATGTAATTGATTTCTGCAAAACAACAGTCGTTCAACGACATTGACCGTGATTCTGATTACGGAATGTCTATTCCTTCCGCAATACCATAAGAAGCAGTCGATTGCACATAGCGTAAGTACATTCATTCAGTGTAAATGCATAATATATATTATGTGACAATTATTATCAAATCAAATTTATAAAATCATGATTTGATCTAATTTTTTAATAGAATATTAATTGTTAATAAACTTATAAAACACTTTTTTTATTTTATAAGTTATAAATATGCATGAAAATATGCAATATCTCAAGAATTAGTACTTTGTTAAAAATGTGTTAAACATATGATACATATATGTACATATATTATAAACAATAAAATTTTCTTCTTAACTTCGTAATAATCTTTTCATCTCAAAGTAAAGAAATATAAGTTATAATGAGAAATTGCATAAATTTATAATACAAATTAACTGCAAATTTGAACTTTCAATAATTATCATAAATATACATACACATATTATACGTTTATTAAAGAGAAGATGCCGTTTTCTTCCATAAAATTTAAGTTATTTAAATACTAAATGTGTAAATTTATAATCTATATATAATTTTACTTATTTACTTATATATATGTGTATAAATTTTATATATATGTGAAATATACTTAATTCATAAATCAGTATATATTACAGATAGAAAAAAACATTTTTAACTATTATGTATCTTAGATTTTTTTGCGAAACACTTCCAGATGTGGAAGTGTTATGGAAGGAATAGAATCCACAGTTAACGTACTAATACACGAAGCAATTACAGACACATTGCTCTTATATCACATTATAATTTTCTTTATGGCGACTGTGAAATTTGCAAAATAAATGATTATAGTACACGTAAGAACGTATTCAAAGCGACACATGTTACGATTTCACTTAGATTCTTCCGTGTTGTAAAGATACGACTAGGCATAATTTACATATATAATATTCGAGGTATTATAATTATATCAAGATTATGATGAATAAATTTAGTGCGACGCGCTTTTTTTACTATATACACTGTTAATATGGGAAAAACGAAAGCGATAAAATAAATAGCGCTTAGCTAGAACTGTCATTGTCCGAATGACAAAGGATTTTTTTTTTCTTCGGTTATATTGTATCTCCGGGAAGTATCAGAAGAAAGTTTCGCGAGAAGCATATAAATTAAGTGGTGTACAACCGCTGCCAAAGCGGGAAAGTTTTGTGCAACTTCGAGAAGGCAAGATATGTGGAGAGCACTTTTACACTGGTTTCGGTTTCACTAATGTTACTGATCCGAGAAATTCGATCGAATTATTCAATTTGCTACAAAAGAAAGTATCGATCGTATCAAACAATACACATGTTAGTTGTTTGTAACAAAAGAGGCATAGCATTTCCTTGTCTAACTATTTATTTTACAAATAAAATGATCATTTAATATATAGTTTGAGCAATAGATTTAATACAAGTTGTCTTATCTGATTTATGAATTTTTCTAACTATGGATTTTTATCAATTCCTCTCCTATAAATTCTTTGTAACTTTGCGCATATAATTTGCAGGATTTCACGTATCACACATTTAAATTAACGAAAGATTAGGAAAACTATTATTACCGGAAATTTAAACGATAAAAAATATAAGAAAAAAAAAATATCAAAAAAATTATTATTTGTATAAAATATGATCGAATGTTCTGGGAAAATGAAATTCTTGGCACCGTATGTGCAAAGATCGTTCAGTTTTACGATTCGATATAGAAAGTATCCCCCATTCACTTTCATCAATCAATCGTAAATAACTTTACTAATCCGGAATCTTTCTCGTATATATTAATGAATTAAAACGCGATAGTAAATGCGTTCCTCTGTCATAGGTCAAATAATTTGTTAAAACCTTTGAAATCTTTAAAATATATTTTCTTACTCTCTCTTATATTATATAATCTACAACTGTAGAAATTTTCTTTGAATACATACAAACTATTATAAACATTTATTTTTTAAACTAATAGATTCATTAACGTAATTTGTTATTATAAACTAAATATTTTTACATAAAACGTTTTATGAAATAAGCATTAATTTTGATATCAATAAAACTTAAGCAAAAAAAGTAATAAAATTTTTTTCATAAAAGTTAGTTTTGTATATTTTTTTTTTAAAGCAATAGTGTGTGTTCGTGATTCAAGCTGTTCACGCATTTCGCGTTTTATCTCCTAACTTTAAAACAGATAGCATGGTTCATTCTTGGCGAATAAACGGCATTTACAGCCCGCGAAACAATGATGATCATTTAAGCGTAGATAATTGTCACGAATAAGATTCTGCAAGGCTATAAAAGTCCAACTGGTTGAACCGGCGAAAGTAGTCTATGGTATATAAATAATAGTAAGATATCTTTCCATTTGAATTCAGTGTAAGTCGATCTATTGCCTTGATCGCAAAGTCATCATGGGATATCAGGTAAATACTTCGGTTTTATATCATTATTATTAATTTCTCTTTGATAATAATTGCCAAATTTATTCCGTTTAAATCCCCAAGATAAACTTTATTATTTTATATCTAATTTAAATATTTAGAAATCTTTGAAAATATATTGTAACATCCTCTCTTTTAAAATAAAGAAAGTAAAAATACTTTATATTCAACAAAGACAGAATAAATTTGACATTTATTACAAAAGAAAAAATAATAATAATATTGTAGAGCCAAATACTTACCTGATGCCCTGATGCCATAATGATTTGATCAATAATTATCACATAAATATTTATAATATTCAATATTTTTATAGTTCTATATAACGTCGTATTTCTTTAAACAGTGGGAGTGTTTTATAGCATTTCTGTGTCTCGGTGTCGCTCTTACATCATCGGCTAGTCGCAGGGAGGAACTCGAAAGGGCCGCGGAGCTCGCCGTGGAACGAGCAGCCGAAAGGGCAGCCGAGAGGGCAGTGGAGAAGGCCCTCGACAATGGAAATATTACTACGGAATCCAAGATTGTCCGCGAGTTCTATTCTAATGTCAGGGAAGATCCGCGGAAAGAAAAAAAGGAGTATGATGATTATGACAGATACAAACCGTTGAAAGATGAAGAAGAGTCAGAGGAAGATGCGGGCGATTGGAGCACATATTCACGAAGGGGCGAATCCAAATTCGTTCCTCAAGATATGAGAGGTAGAAGTTTTCGTGCAAGGTCTAGCAGAATCGATTTTAGAAACACGTCAGATTCTAGGAGAAGATTTCCGAGAAGCAAATGGTCCCGAGAGAATTGGGATAAATCAAACAAGAAAGTTGTGATTGTATAGAAGAAGGTACCGGTACCTGTGACGGTCGAGAAGAAGATTCCGTATCCGATCTACAAGCATGTTCCGTACAAGATTTAAATACCCGTACACTTACACGGTGGAGAAAAAGGTGCCTTATCCGGTGAAAGTCTATGTAAATGTACTCGTCGAAGAGCCGGAACCTTATTACATCAAGAAGCAAGTCCCATACGCGGTAAAGATCGATAACCCCGTGCCGTATAAAGTTGAAGTACCGGTGCCGCAACCATACATGATTGAAAAAAGGATTCCGGTTGAAGTAAGGGTGCCGGTACCGTAGCCATATACTGTCGACAAGCTGGTACTCTACAAAGTTAAAGTACCGGCCAAGATACCGACCCCGTACGAGATCGAGAAGAAAGTAACGGTACCGGTGAAGGTCATTGTTGACCGACCATATTCGGTATCAGTGCCAAAACCATATCCTGTACAGATTACTAGATCGTATCCGGTGGAAGTGCCTAAAGCATATCCGATAAAAATCAAAGTACCTGTAGAGAAATCGTATCCAATACCGGTAGAGAGACCAGTTCCGGTAGCCGTCAAAGTCCCAGATCCTCGACTGTACACCGTGAAAAAACCCGTGCCGATAGAGGTAATTAAACTTTTTTCTGTTCCGAACAAAGTACCCGTGGACAAACCTTACGAGATTTACAGAACAAAGTCGTTACTTGTTCCGGCGAAAAAGCCCTTTCCTCACATCGTACAAGTACCGGTTCCCATTAAGCTCGGTTGGAAGAATCAAGATGAAATTAAGAACAAGGAAAACCCGATAGAAAACGAAAACGCCAACAATGAATGGCAGCAATCGCAAGATTAGATTACGAATCATTCAACGATAGAGCTGCAGATATTGTATGCCATAAATAATTTATCATATTGATACTGACAATGAGAGAAAGTATTAATGTATATCATAATCAATAGCTTTATGTAAATTTAAAATAATAATACATCGCGCGATTAATTTTGTTATATCCGATATTACCTTTCTCTTATGTATAAAAAAAATTGTTATATTTTCGTTAATTTAATTACTGATATTATTTTCTTAAAGTAAATTCAAGTTTCGAAAAGTTAAGGATTTCTAATTATTCGATAATTGTATTATCAATTTTTAAGTTTGTAAATGAAAATTATGTAATTGTATTTTAATTGCGTAATATATATATGAAATTTTCTATTAGAATATTCATTGATTTATGAATAATTGATTTTCCCAAAAGATTTATGTACAAATAAAGTTGAAAAGTGAAATATTGTATAACTGAAATTATTTTCTTAATTATCAATTCCTTATTTGCGTTTGCTCGGAAGAGGGAATATGAACGGTCATAAAACTGTCGTAATAAAATCGTTTTTTTCGTGAAATATACATTGATTTTTGCGTTTCTCGTTAATGGCGTAATCTGAGAAAAAAATATTCCTTCGTTTTACGTAATTTCATTGAAGAAATTATATAAATTTTGCGATATATATATGTGTATGCTCTTATTAATCAATGCGACTGTATACCATTAAGAATGTTTAGAAATTTTGAACTTGAACTTTAATTTTACCCGACTTGTTTAGCATTAATTTTTTTTCTCTTTCAGCAATAACTAGTTTCGCTTACTACTTCTTATTTTTTTTTTCGCTATATAACTTTATCAGAATGTAACTTACAGATATATATCTCTGAATATCAAATTAAAAATTAAAAGAATTCGGGCGAGAAATGCATTCTATATAAATATATTTTCAGTGTTTTAATCGAACAGTATAAATTATCTTTGATTGATTTTTGTTATAATTTTTCTGCTAATTTTCTTTTCTTATAAAAAAATTATTAAAAGAAATTGTTATGTTTTTGAATCCAATTTAGCTATTTTTTCGTGTTTCTACTCTTCAAATAGAATAATATTAAATTATATTTTTTAATTTAAACTTTTTCTTATTTCTTGTTACTTTCTGTCATTAATATACATAAGCATCTTGTTACTATCATCATTAATATGCATAATATACATAAGGATCTTAAATGTTATTCCAGTACTTTTATTCTGTAACTTTTAACGACAAATTCGCCATCGTTACGCGTCGTTGCGCAACTATTTTCCAATACGTTTTAGCTGCTCAACGACACGTAACGATAACGACATCATCATTACAAAGTTAGAGAATAGGCCCACTGGCTACCGTTTTCTTGCATTTTTGTCCGAGTCTAGTATTTCTTATTCCAAAACAAGTTGCAAAAATTGGAGATTTACCGTACGACGCATCTAGTAAACGGCACATTATAATGCGGTTGGTCTCACATCAGCGTACGTTCTAGAATTTATATCTCTTCTTTGCACATATCGCGCTGTTTGTTTCTCTCTCTCTCTCTCTCTCTCTCTTTCTCTCTTCTTTTTCGTCTACAACTTTTTACTTTTCCTCTCCTCCTACCGTTCCCAGAGTTCTTCCTCTTGCTCTCTCCCTCGGACCGCAGAAGAGACCGTTAGGTGTCTACCGTCGTGTTTTTCGTCTCGGCTGAGAGAACCCGTATGAGAAGCCTGCCGCAACCGCTGCCGCGTCTTGCGCTCTCGTCCTTCCGTGGGTACCGAATACGGAGGGGGAGAGTCCTGCCGGACGGCGATATACGAGCGAGAAACTTCCACGAGATGTAAAACGGCGGAAGGAGGAAGAGGGAGATTGAAAAGAGAAGGGAGATGATAGTAGGGGAGGAATGGAAACGTATCCAATGGCGTAGGTGAACAAGGCTAAAAAGGATCAACCATTACGTATACCTATATAAAATTTAACAGTAGAGCGTAAAACAATTAATACCCTCTATTAAATCTTAAAATATTCTTTTGGCAGATAGTTATTCTTTTGGATTTTCTTATTTGTTACAGTGTTTTGCAATTGGCAATTATATTTTCCATTCTAAACATTTTCTTAAAGTTTGAGCATCTATTTATTTTGTATAAAAAATAATTATGAAACATCTTTTTTTTACGATAAATACATATTTTTTATATCACATATTTGCTTGAATTTTTGAACATCATTATTGTAACTTCCGGTATTCAATTTTCCACGGTTGCTACACCGTTAAATATGATTATAGAAGCACTGATGTGTCTGTGTGTCTAGAATTTATAAAAAAAAGTGCCATAACACCGTGTACGTCGGGCGAGCACCAGACGCGTGTTTCACTTTTCCGCGAGAGCGCAGAGGGGCTCGCTTAATACGCGTTGGGGGAAAGCGGACTATAAAGACGGTGATACCTTGGGGGGAAGCATCCAGTAAAGTCTGGACTTTAACTAGATCGTGAGAGACCTGGTAGACATGAGAATTTTGGTAAGTGACACAACGGGTAAAATTAGCATCAATTAGTTTTGCAAATTAGATAGACTTAGCTTTTTTGCTTTTGCATCTTTTCAAGCTTGAAATTTTATTTAAAATAAATGTGATGATAGCTACACGTTTTTTTTTAAATCAAATTAATTACAATTAAAATTTATCAATATTTCTCCTTGATGTAAATCGTGACAAAGGCGATAAAATTCACAATCAAAGAACCAAAAGCCTTCGAGAGGCTCAGTGTTTTATGTAATCATACAGTATTCGAAACATATTAACGATTGTATCTCGCGCATGAATAGTATTCTTTCATGGTTCAAGAGATAGAGCATTAAAGCTGCAAGCGGCTGATATAATCGATACGGTGTTTTTATCGATTGCAGTTTCTCACGCTATTAACGGGGCTGCTAGCCTTGGCCGTGTGCGAGGAGAAGCAGATTGCAACTAAGAAAATTGCGTCAAGCGAAAATGCCGAAGGCACGGAGAAGAAACAGGATAAGCGCGGGTTGAGTCACATCGAGGGAGATTACGGGGGACAGGACGAGGGCGGTTATGGCGGCGGCGGTTATGGCGGTGGCGATTACGGCGGCGGCGATTACGGCGGCGGGGGCGGTTTTGAAGGAGGTCACGATATCGGCGGTGGAGACATCGGCGGTGGAGATATCGGCGGAGGTCACGATATCGGTGGATATGGCGGTGGTTATGGCGGTGGTTATGGCGGTGGTTATGGCGGTGGTGGTGGCGGCGGGGGCGACGACGGTGGCAAAATCAAACAGATCACGATTGTGAAGACCGAAAAGGTACCTTATCCAGTTGAAAAGAAGGTTCATTATCCGGTGGAGAAGGAAGTACCGTATCCTGTAAAAGTACCGGTACCGCAGCCGTATCCCGTCGAGAAGAAGATACCGGTACCGGTAAAGGTATTCGTGAAGGTGCCAATTCATATACCGCAACCGTATCCCGTCGAAAAGAAGGTGCCCTATCCTGTGCACGTACCGGTAGAGAGACCAGTGCCCTACAAAGTATACGTGCCCCAACCGTATCCGGTAGAGAAGAAAATACCGTATCCAGTGAAGGTACCAGTGCCACAGCCATTTCCGGTGGAAAAGCCCGTACCGTATACCGTAAAGGTCCCGGTACACGTGCCGCAACCCTTCCCCGTGGAGAAGCCGATACCGTATCCGGTGACAGTGCCCGTCGATCGACCTTATCCAGTACACATAGTTAAACCGTATCCGGTTCCCGTCGAGAAGCCGGTGCCCGTTCCGGTAGAAAAGAAGGTACCCTATCCGGTCAAAGTGCCCGTAGAGCGACCGGTGGCTGTACCTGTGGAGAAGCCCGTGCCCGTTCACGTTAAGGTACCAATACCGGCGCCGTATCCGGTGGAGAAACCGGTACCCGTCCCGTTCGAGAAACCTGTGCCCTACGCCGTAAAAGTGCCTTACGATCGACCCGTGCCAGTTCATGTAACGAAGCAGGTGCCTGTGACGGTCCCCAAGGCGGTACCGTATCCCGTAAAAGTGCCGGTGGCAGTACCAGTGCACGATCACGGTTCTTCCGGGGGTGATTATGAGTCCAGCTTCGGGGGACACTCGGGATATTAGTAAAAAGCGTGACAGTGGAGGATTTTTCGATCGTTTCAGAGAAAAATTAATACATGAAAGAGGAAAAGAAATACGTTACGACGATATAAATATCTGTCACTAAACAGAATTTGTTAACTCGACTGATCAACATCTTGATGAAAATGTATATATAGTGTATATATTTGAAAATTAGATCATTAGTAGGTTAATTTTCGTAAGAAAAAAAAAAAAAAATTCTCCACTGCATCGCACGAGCGGACGTATTGGCACCTATTACGGAACACGTCTCGATAATATTTTTTCTGCCAACATTTGTCAACGCATTGCGTCGAAGAGAATATAATTGTAGAAAACGATGTGATTTGTAACGCGTTTAACGGCTGATTTTTCACTCGGGAGCGTTAACGAAGCGTTTCCTTTGCGCGACAAGCGCTCGCTCGAATGCGAAGTCCGCGAGCGAAGGAAACGCGGACGTATTTATTTTATTAACTTAGCAATGTCGGTCCACTCGCCGCGGATTTCCCGGCGAGGGAAATGAGTTTGCAGAACAGTCGTTTTGCGTCGCGAAAGATGATTCCGGGTGCCACGAGTCCGCGTAGACAGCGCTCTAACGATTTCCTTAGATATATTATCGACACTTCAATATCCGTCAACGGATGTTCTATTGTGTGTTTCTTTCGACATTCGTAACATGTAACATACATCTTTTATATATGTTGTACAATGCCTTTCGCTTCTTTTTAATAAAACCAAAGAGCAAAATGACACAGTCTTGAGAAAAATTCTTTCTATTGTCATATTCTACAAGGAGCCTGAACTGAGACTTGCGCTTATCTTTATATGCTTGTCCTTCCTCAATAAATTTCACGCTGATGCAATTTCTCTTGTACTCCTTTTCTATGAGCGAGAAAGTAATATATTAAATCAAAACAGACAGTGATCAATCTAGATGTTTTTTTTTTTTTTTTTTTTTTTTTTGTGAACGGAAAGCTGAATGATAAAGATCGATTTTACGTTACGGGATGGATTCTCCGTGTGTAATTTTCTTATCAGAATTAATATCCTTGAACTTTATGCAGCGTGACGAATCTTTATCTTCGATCACGCGTACTCCGCGTGAATGATGTTTGTGATGGAGGCATTGCACGATTTCTTGTTCCGGCAGGAAACAAGAAAAAGTAGAAGAGCTGGCGAAAGTCGTTCCCGCGATTTCGGCCGGGATCGTATCCGGAAAATTCACTCAATAATTAGTGCTGCAAAAGCTCCTATACGTAATTAATCTCGTACGGTCGATGAAAATGGAACTTTCTTTTATCTAGCATGACTAACGAAGAAAAGTGCATATACGTAATACTTCCGATTCGATAATATCAGCGTCTTGTTCTGCCTCGCGATCTATCATTTGGCATGCAGTTCTCAGGCATTAAATCTAATTCAAACGCACATCGTTTTAACTACAACGCGTAACGATAGTCGGAGAAAGGATATCTCATCTCTCTTTCTCCTGATCTGCCGATGAGTAAATCATAAGAGGAGGAGCACGAGATCGCAAATCGAAAGTGAAATCGCTGATCTCGTGCATAAAGCACGCGGGCGCGGAAAATTGTTCGCAACAAGATTATTCGCTTCGGACATTTATTGGAAACTTTACGTACGAAAGTACCTTTCAAATATAGCAGGTGTTATTTCATCTTTATCTAATTAATAAGATAAACTTATTGAAATAATATTAAAATATATCCTGTAGAATGTATGTATTACAGCCAGGATTTCAAGTATTATGATTGCAAAAGCTCCTTCTGTTATTATTTTATCAAATTTTTCCCACATATCTAATCTTAATTATAATTATCATAGTTACCGAGATTGTCAAAGGACATAAAAAATTGACACATCAGTTAATAATAATTTTTACGTCTACGCAAGACAATCGATTATTATGAGCGCGAAATTCATATTGAAAAAAGCAGAAACGTGCATGAAATAAAATTGAAATACAAACGGTACTTACCGTATGTACGGGATATTGGCCGGGATGTGATACTTCGCACCTGGATCGAAATCGTCCTCGGATCTCAGTACCGGCGGTTTCGTCCCCGCATATTGCTCCATCAGTCTATGCCAGTGACAATTGTATTCCTCTCTGTTGACGTAGCCGCGAGCAACGTCCCATCGCCATCTGTCCATCGTGATGCTGAAAGGTAGCATCACGAGTTTTTCCATTGCCAAAGAAAAGAGGTAGTTGATATCCGCGGAGCGCTCATCGATGAATTTGTTCGCCAGGCCCAGAGTTTGCAGATGACGCGGCGTCGCGACGCTCAAAGCGACAGTCTCGCCGACCGCTTCGTGAAATCCTGATAATTATGTAATTAATATAATTACTTAAGATATAACAAGATAATACTAAATAAAAAAAATTGGCAAAGATTATAATCTGCATTTTTCAAGAGATTATTATAAAACAATGTAGCTATTTCAATATGGATTTATAATAATGGATATCAAGAAATTAACGTCTTATTGTTAGTTATGGGCTTATTTTATGATTATAATAAATTATCGTAATCTTTTAATTGTGTGATAAAAGATAATGTCTTAATGTATGAATTACTAATTATATGAAACTTTTTTTCATGATTTAATATCTCGAAGTTGGAGTGCTGTTCTTTAAGAACACTCGTAGACGCTTTGAAAGAGTTCGGATGTTTGATAATCGAACGTCACGGTGAAAGTCGACGTCAGATGAAACAGATGGCTTGTCGCTGAGTTCCGTCTATGATTATTGCAAAGTTTCTCGAGGTTCTCCGGTCTGCGCGGATAGCCCGGTGGCTTTTTGCGCACGATGTGATTTGGTGCTAACCAGGATGTAATTACAGTTTGCACCGATAACTCGAGCGTGGCAGATGACGCTGATTATTTCTCTTTTTACTACATTTCCTTATGCAAATCGTATCTAACGATCAAAGGTGCAATTAAAACAATTTCATAACTCGGAATTAGCATTAATTGAGCATTGTAAGTGGGAAATGTAGATGAAAAGAGAGATAAATAATATATGTAATACACAAATAATTGTACAAAAATACTACTGGCATATCCAGATTAAACCAAATTTACATCCTGGATAAAAACTGCTCACGCGCATATAAGTAAAATCTGTTTGAGCGTGAATAATAATTTAAAAATAATTATAATTCACGTGTATAATAACGCGAATTTCGATGAAAGCGACGTCTTCGCGAGAGAGATTGAGGCATTGCTTGCAGATTTTATGCGAAATCGATCGGCAAGGCCACCTCTGCGAAGCCGTTCTCGTTGGTTCGAAAACAATCCGTGTTCCGGTACAAGGCGAATGACCGGGTCTGGCCGACCGGCCGGCCGTTGCGACGGTGAAAGCGCGATTGCACCGTAATAAAAATATTTTAACATCCGACGCCAATGTACGCGAGTATAATCTACGCGTCTATTCGCGAGTAATGTAATGCGCAGCGTACACCTCGAGCGTATCGCTCTCGCGCTCTCGCTTTCGCGCTATTAGTTGTAAAAGTACACAAGTCGGCCGTGCCTTCCGGAAGTCGGGCCAGGAACTAACGATGCATTTACGTAACGCGTGTCATCTGTCCGATGTTGTATGCCATCATCGTTCAAACTATTTCAATCTTATTATCTTAGTCCGTCACGCGGATTTTTTCTTCCTAGCGTGATGCAATTTCTCATTATTGCATTCGTATATTGTAATAAAGATTAGCGACGTTAACAATAGATGTAGGCGTATGTAGCGTAAAACCGTAATACAGCTTTATGACACAACGCTAGAGCATTTATTTTGTATTTATCTATTTATCATGGAAAAATAATATATAAGTTTATTTTTGTGCATTTGTTTTGATGACTATTTCTTTGCAAGAAAATTTATTTTCCGTTATGTGATTTGTATTATTTTTTATTTTATCCGTGTTTTTAAAAATTTTTAAATTTTATTAAAATTTATAATAATAATTAAGAATAAAAAGAGTTAAAATTTAAATAATATTATCTCGTGAATTTAAATTTATATTTACACAAGATACAATAAATATAATTTTATATGCATGTTTTGGCCATATGTATATATTCTGTATTGTATTTATTTAATATCCTAATTCTTATTAAAAGTGTGCAGATTAATATTAAGAATTCTAGATATATTCTTATACCTGGATTAGCGCCATCACGAAATTCACGAGGTAGACCGCTGTATCGTAAGAAATACTGAACGTGTGCCATTTCATGATGTAAAGTTATCAGATCCTTCATTGTCACTTTTGTACACATCTTAATCCTAAATATATATATATAAAAATATTAAAAACTTTTATTTCCTTTTATAAGTATTAAGATACAAATCTAATATTTATTTATAAAATTTTAAGATGCCATTAAAAGATTTTTTGATATTGTTATTACATGGTATATTAATTGATTAACATGTATATATATATTAATAAGCGAGTTTACCTGTAATCTAAACGATTGCAAAAGTCCCACGCAGAGGCTTGGCAAATTAGTGAACGATCGCCTGGATCGGCGATTATACTTCCGGCCCAGAATTCCGGCGGCATAGCACTCAAGTTCAAGGACAGGTAAAATTCCTCAGCCACTCGAATCATGTCAATTGGTGTATAGCCCTACGCATTATAATACGCAATTATCAAAATTAACTATATATTTAATAATTATCAATGTTGATTATATACACGCTGTGTATATATAATAATACGCATGATATAAAATATTGATGACAAAATTAGAAAAATAAAGGGAGATTTTACTTGAGCTTGCATTTCCGGCGTGACATCGGGATATGTTTTTCCGGGATACGGTAGGGTAACATCTAAGAGATTGCTCCAAGATTGCCCCCATATATTACCTATAATTATAAAAATAATGATATTAGTTACATAACAACAAACAATATTTAAATTTAAATAATTTATTAATGTTGAGAAATAATTGTCGTATGTTTATAAAAATAATTGAATTTGAGTTATATTTATAATACATATGCATAATATTGATTGTACCAAGGATATGAGACGGAAGTGGAGCATGTCCGCCGATTTTTTCAGGACCGTAGAGTTCTCTCAACTTTCTGCGAACATATGCGTGCAGTTCTTCGTAAAGCGGACGTATCATTTCCCAAACTTCTTCAATATCTTGTTGGAAATTGGGAGATTCATAAGGGAACATCCAATATTCAGCGGCATCCGTAAAATCTGTAAAAAATAATAGCATAAGAACTTATAATGTTTGTAATATGTAGCCGGTGTCATTATTATTAATTTAATTTAATTAACATATATGATATTTCAATCATTTGTTTATTAGTTTTAGCATCGCAAATTTCGTTTAATATGTATTTTTATGTCGGCCTTGAATTAATGTTAAACCTACTATTCAATCTTGCAGCATCATTGTTCAACGTAACAAGTTGTTGATATAGATCCTTAATTGGTGTACCGCTTCGTCTTCTCCATTCAGTCCAAACGTATTGCAGTTCATCCCAATCTCGACTCTTTGCCATAATTTGCGATATATCTGAAATAACAAAAAATGTAGTCGATGTTAAATTTTACATGCTTTGCTACCTTATACGAGATTTTCTGAGATTGTCGAGTATTTTTCGACTGGTGTTCATGTTTTAGGATCTGCGGAAAAACTGGCCATGTAAACTGGCCGTTTTTTCTCTTGTCTTGAGGTATATAACTTTACGTCGGAATCGGTGCATTTTATGTAGCACGAAGTCTGCGGAAAAACTAGCCACGTAAACATGTTTTTTCTCTTGTCTTGAGGTATATAACTTTACGTCGGAATCGGTGCATTTTATGTAGCACGAATATTACTAGACATAAAGTGATCATGACGTAACATTCATATGCCAGAATCATGTACCGGATCGGTAAATTTCTAGATCGAGTCGCGCAAACTTACTTATCCTTTTTCGGTCAAAATCCAAGTATGCTTCTTCGGGCCGGCTAATCATTATTTCGCGGTACACCCAGACGCGAGTGTAATTAAATTCCTACAATAAACTGTATTCAACTGCGTAGCGTATTCGCTAATTAATTAATTACCCGCTTTCTACACGCGCGCACGCTCTACTATGTTATGGAATGATTATTTATTTCGTGTCTAAATGGGCATGCATACGGATTTACATTGCAAAAATAATAGACAATTAGAGGCGCATATAGCGGCACAGAAGTCTTCATAAATTAACGGAAAAGAAGGGACTCCCCCCTCGGCAAACGCGCGCGCGCGTGACGTATTCTACTTCTTCACACTTTCATGCGCATTTTGAACTTACGTAAACTCTCCCGCAGAGTTTCCCCGCGACAAACTACCTGTACGAACGCGGTGGCATCATATCGAATCAATTGTCATTTAGTGTAATATGTGGTATATTACCTGGATATAAACGCAATCCACATCGGAAGGGATCGTTGTAAGCACATATGGTGGCCCCATTATAAACGGCAAGCATATCGTTGATTAAGCGATTGTACTGTAAAGAAATAATTTACTATATATTTTTTGTAATGCATAACGTGTGTTTATTATAAACATACTCAATTTAATATAAGCGCCGCTAATATTACCGCTCGGCTATTTGAATAGAATTAATATTTACTCTGTCTAATTGATCAGGTGGCAATGCAGAAGGACCCACGATGAATAAATAACGAAGCCGTCGTCTAATTATGGGGTCCTGAATAGAATTTATATCAATTCTGGAAATCAGAATCCAAGCTTGGTATTGGAAATCCGCATATAACCGTTGTGCATCCAGCTGAAATTAATGTAAAATTAATATGCATTAGAAGTAATTTTTACGTTAAAAAAAGAAAAATTCTTCTATAATATTTAAATAGAAAAAAAAGACATATATATGAATGAATTATGTCAATTATTTTTAAATGATAAAAATTATGTATTATTATCATACTAAATTTCTTATATAATTATAAAGTAACAGATAAATTAGAAAAAAAGTTTAAGTGTTATTGTGCAATTGTGTTACATTAATTACATGACATAAGAAAATCTGTCTGCAACTGATTAGAAAACGCAATTGCAATAAAGCGCAAATCAGTAAACGACGGCTTTACCGTTAGAGATAAAGCCAGTATAGATAAAACGTATCTGTCTATGTCTTTTCGTGACAGTAACCTGTTTTCAGAAAAATGTGGCTAAGAAAGTGAAATTGCATTTGTTTTTCCATATTTAAACGCAAATATAATGCAAATACTATATATATATATATATATATATATATATATATATATATATATTTATTTATTAACATTTTGATGATTAATTATTATACAATATATTGTCTTGAGAATTAAATATGTACTTATGTATATTCTGTACCTTTATTATTACATAAGAAACAGCAAGATAATGACTACATAATGTGTAAACGCAAATTCCAGTACATGTCATGTGGCATATTTCCAAGTAGCATGTCAGCGTACACTCATAAAAAAAAAACTTAAAAAAATATCGTATTGCAACATGATATTCTTATTATCATCATTGAAATTACTCACGTATTTGTGTGTGCATATAATCATATATAAAAAAATGTATAAAGGATAAATACTTAATATAGTTTTTATATAATTGCATTTATACAAAATTATATTATCTTATAATACAAGACTTATTTTTAACTGAAGTTGAAAAATAACTTCAGTAATTGATACTTCCCATGCGATAATGAGCAAGGCGGTGATTCGTCGTACAACGACGTTTTCAGTCACGGAAAAGGAAAACAGCATCTCGATTATGTTAACGTCACGCGAGGCAAGCTTGGTTGGTTTTCGCATTGAACAAAATTCCCGTTCCCCTATACGAGACAGCTGAGCGATTGCAAAATCGTTCAGGACGACTATCACGACAATGCCATCGCCTGGGAAGATTTCCCGCGGAGGCGTTCGGCCTTTTGCGGACAATACAAACGGTCTCGTGTCAGGGAAAATTGTGATCGCGATGCGCCTACAAAATAGCGTCAGTACTTCGCTCACCGATGGACAAGTCAATGTGTGTAAACATCACGAATTGTACGAGAGGATACCGAGAGGAGGTCGAGGTCCCTATGGAGACATTTCATAGGGTGGATGAGAAATTTATACGATTGTACGCGACTTATTTTCCATAATTATCACTGTACTTTGTTTTAGTGTTGAAAACTTAACGCCTTTATACATTTTTATCTTTATAATTGCATCTCTGTGTATTTTTTGATAGTAATTTGTTTTAATTTTAATCTAATATCTCTTTTATTTTAGCTTATTTTAATTATTTTATTTATTTTTATTTAATAAATTTCAGAATAAAAGATTTTTTTTTTAATTTTTATACTTAAAAGATATCTTTGCATATGTCTCTAAGTTTTAGCTATGGATTATTGCTGTTTTAGAACGGGAGAAATATCTTCTTGAATTCTTCTTAAATTTAAAATGTTGTTTCTAAATTATTTGTTTAATTAATACAAAAATACAATTTCTTTTAATGATGCGGTGATAATAATTTTGTTAAATCACCGACGGATTTGTATTGTATTGTGAGATAGCCTAAATTACAAATATAGGGGGCTACAAGTACATGCGGGTTACACTGCCGAAAAGAGACTTTCGAAATTTGTTAGCCTGATTAATGAAAGAGTTAACAGTACCAGAAACTACGTGTGATATGATAAAGTAACATGACAAACTTCTTATTTAAGGAGAATAATGAAGAATAATGAATAAAAAAAAATAATGTTTCATAAATAGATTAAACTGTATTAAAATTAGTCTTACCGCTTGCAGTTGTGTATATTCGTTGACATTGGTTTCGTACGCCCATTGCGCTATTACGTTGGCGCTGCATCTCTCTGCACCGAGGAAATCTAATCTAGCTAAGATATTTCGGTAATCTAATTCATTGGAAGGAAGTTGTCGATCAATATTGTTGTCCCTGTATGGCGGCAAGTCCAATTGACCGAAAACTGCCGGTACCAGGCAAAGTACGAACGCTGTCCATCTTATCTACATCATCATACATATTTATTAATTTTGTGTTAATTATAAATTCTAAACAAAAGCCAACTATATTAAAATAGGAAGCTCCAGTTATGAACTAATTAATTCTAAATTAATAAAAAAATATTAAATCAGACGGATATCTATTGTTGAACTGTGTAAAATGTTTTTTTCTCTAAAATTACATTTATTTTAATTAATTTTTTTTGCAAGCTTTACATCTAATTTTACATTAAAAAATTTTTTATTTATTATTTTATTTCTATTTATATGTTTTATTGAGTCCAGCATATATTCCAACAATAAGTATTTCTCTCTGATATTCTTATAATAACGATTTCAATGCTAATGTAAATAACACGTTTTAAAAAATGGTCGATATTAAGGTTGACCCATAATCGCAAAGTCATTTGAAGTTCTTAGGGTCAGCTACCCCTATTTCCAGAATAACCGACAAGATTGATGAACTCTACCGCTACGCATACATGTCAATCTAAATTTGCAAGGCTACAAGTTGACATAATTGAATACGTGAATTTCGCTTATGTCCATCATTTTTTGCGTATTGCGTGCTCGAAATTATTTAGACCAGTCGTATAATAGTATTGAATTTTTTGTGTTATCTATTTTTAACCCTATGTTTTGTACGTATAACATATGTAAATAGAGGGTAAAAAGAATTTCAGAGTAAGTCTTCTTAGGTTTTTGAGAAGACTCATGATAATAATTTTGTGTTAATTTTGATAATACTGTAATGTCGCCGTAATATTCTACATAATTAAAATTGTAAAAGGAATAACGATTGAATGACAATTTCTCATTAACTCACATAAAAAGTCACGAATTTCTGTGGTTTATTTTTCACAATCATGTTATCTTTATAATTATAATGCATAAATATGCTTGAATAATTTTATGACTATGCAAAATCGAAATTTGTGTTTGATATGTACTTGTATGAATGATTAAGAATTAAATTGCATAAATTTACACTGCTAATATTTGATTATTCTTATATAATATATTTTCAATTTTGCTGTGTGAAAAATGTTGACACAGTTTGTAACACTAGATTCGTTTATCTTCTCACTATTAAGTGTGTTAATTTACTTAATCACGCGTTCATTTCGTAAATTAGATTAGACATCCACCATATTCCTTTCGACATAAGAAGGAGCACACTTATTATTTTGATGTAGCATCTTTTTATCATTCACATCTCCTCTAATTTTTTATCAGATTCATCAAACTTGATGATTTATTATTAATCAGAATTATGCAACTTTCCAGAATACAAAGACCGCCATTTACGCTATCCATCAAAATAAAAGATGAATAGCAATTGCCGAACCTCTTCTAGCGTTAAAATCTGTATCACTATGGAAGATAGCCACATTGATGAGAGAAGACTTACAAAGCTTCCGCTAGCGCGGTTTAACAGCTTGCCAGTTTCACTAAAAGTAAACTCCATGTGTCTTAAAAATAAGACTGATTTTGATTCTCGATAATGATCATTCACGATCGCCGACCGATTGCACGCAACGACGTCGTCGTCGTACAAAATTCCGTTCCACCGATCAAGCACGACTAACACGAGCGACGATTTTGTTCTGCCGACACTAAAAGCCCCGTGGTCGACGTCAAGTGTACATTTATCCCTGCGAAGCTGTTCGAACGCGACCACAGGGAGGTCATGCGTAGCAAAAGAAGTGGGGAATTCGCGTATACCTTGTTCGTGTTGTTAGTTTGTCGGTGTCGCTGCTACTCAAACAGATAATCGTGGGAGTAAGTGGAAGTAGCCGAGGACGAAGAGGAAGATGAAGAGCTGCGTTCTGTGACATCTGACGTGCGAAACGAACAAGAAGGAGAAAAGAAACGATGTTTGGATAAGGAATAAGGTGGCAGATAGACCGCGAGAGAAGATGTAGATAGTAATTGTAAGGCTAAAAAAAACCCTATGTTTTGTACGTATAACATATGTAAATAGAGGGTAAAAAGAATTTCAGAGTAAGTCTTCTTAGGTTTTTGAGAAGACTCATGATAATAATTTTGTGTTAATTTTGATAATACTGTAATGTCGCCGTAATATTCTACATAATTAAAATTGTAAAAGGAATAACGATTGAATGACAATTTCTCATTAACTCACATAAAAAGTCACGAATTTCTGTGGTTTATTTTTCACAATCATGTTATCTGTATAATTATAATGCATAAATATGCTTGAATAATTTTATGATCGTTGAATGCGCATCATTTAAACTTGAAAACTATCAGTGTCAAGAAATAAAAAGAAAATTTTATCAATTGTTTCAAAAATTATTGTGTAAGATTTGCAATATAATAATCTGTATAGTATATATTGAGTACAGCTTTCTGTTGCAATATAATAATTATAAACGATTTGCAAAATAATGAACCTTGCGTCATGGATTACCGTGTTAGAAATTACCGCGAAAATTATTATGGGACATGTCTTATGAGTTAATATAAGAACTTCTCATTGTTTCTTTAAATCACGCCATGACATTATGAGCAAAGCATTTACGCGCAATTCATTTGTTGATCTCACGGTCACGTGTTACGTCTTCGCGTTACGTACTTCCTTTCAGCATGAAAGGTATCTGCTTATACACAGTAGTAGGTCATCTGCGATTGATCGAGATGCGATGACCTTGGTTTCATCTGCGCTTATTAAAGTATATATCTCACATTTTTACTCTTTAACTCTTTTAACTGTTTATACAAAAAATAGTATTTTTATGTTCTTTTGACTAAAATACTATTTTTTAATGTTTCTGCTAAAATAAACGTATTTTAATTTTGTTTATGTTCTTTAGATTTCCAAAATTTTATTTGGTATATTTCACGAGAATAAAAGTTAGCACGAAATTTTATTTCTCGTAAAATGTTTGTCAATTGAAAAAAAACGTAAAAAAAGTAAGTAAAAATGGCAATTGCAAAAGGAACGCTAGGTAACGATGAGAGAGTGGAATGATGGGGGTCGAGGGCCAACCGGCTGCTGATTGCGACAACCTAAGGCTCTCACGTTGACAAGAGTCAGTCGTCGACTCCTCTCAATGAGACTCATTGTCTATCGGAGTGCATGTCTGCTTATCGCAACTTTGCATACATTTTAGGTTAATTTTCGAAGTCTCTATAGAAAAGTATATCTCTTAGACCGGCTGAAACTTACTCTGAATAAGAATAATAAATTTGTTCTTGACAGTCATGATAAAATTTAAATAGATATGTCAAAAGTTTGATAGATATATTTATAATAACAATTAAATGGAAATTTTGAAACAATTTATTCTTGAAAACTTGTATCTAAGAAATTTAAATCATATTAGTGATTAAAGAGTAATCGTTGATGCATTTTTAGATAACAGAAATGAAGAATATTTACTAAAATAAACGTATTTTAATTTTGTTTATGTAAATGAATAATGTAATATTTTGATAAAATTATTATCAATGTGTCTAAAGTTTATATAAAATATAAATAATTTGATAGTATACTTATACAAAAATTAAAACGAGGTTATTACTGTGTATTTATACTTAAGAATACAAATATCGGGCATTAGAATCTAGCAGATGTAGATAATTTATAAGCATCAAAATATTTTGACAGTATTGTACCTATTTGATAAAAATTTTGTGCCAAATTTATTTGTTTTCTCAAACGTAATGATCGTTCTGATACAAAAGTTATCACACAATATAATTCAAATATAAAACACATATATAACAAAATTAACTATCCTTAATTAATGCCACAGCTACTAAAAATCAAAGCTTATTTAAAATTGTTCAAATAATATTGACAATCTTGCTTTAATTGATTACAAACATAAAAAATTTTTTTTATAAATTTCGGGCAAATATCTATGTATAGATATATATGTATGTAAGATATGTATGTATATATGTATATATATATATATATATATATAATTTGGTATATTTCACGAGAATAAAAGTTAGCATGAAATTTTATTTCTCGTAAAATGTGTGTCAATTAAAAAAAAACGTAAAAAAAGTAAGTAAAAATGGCAATTGCAAAAGGAACGCTAGGTAACGATGAGAGAGTGGAATGATGGGGGTCGAGGGCCAACCGGCTGCTGATTGCGACAACCTAAGGCTCTCACGTTGACAAGAGTCAGTCGTCGACTCCTCTCAATGAGACTCATTGTCTATCGGAGTGCATGTCTGCTTATCGCAACTTTGCATACATTTTAGGTTAATTTTCGAAGTCTCTATAGAAAAGTATATCTCTTAGACCGGCTGAAACTTACTCTGAATAAGAATAATAAATTTGTTCTTGACAGTCATGATAAAATTTAAATAGATATGTCAAAAGTTTGATAGATATATTTATAATAACAATTAAATGGAAATTTTGAAACAATTTATTCTTGAAAACTTGTATCTAAGAAATTTAAATCATATTAGTGATTAAAGAGTAATCGTTGATGCATTTTTAGATAACAGAAATGAAGAATATTTAATCTTTTATCACTAAAATAACAAAAAATCTAAAAATTCTAGAAATGCTTTATTATTATTTAGTTTACTAAATTTATCGATTTATATATTACTATATTTAATCTGTTAAAAATATTACTAAAGCTAATTGTATATATTTATATCTTGCATAGATAATACTGCGATAGTTGAGATCTATTTCATTAGATTACGTCATTCTGGTATTAAACTAAACATTTTAAATCAGTAATTAACAATGAATCAGTAATGACTAGCAAAATATAAATAAGAGAGAGAGAGAGAGGGAAAAAGAGAGAAAGAAAGAGACTGAGATCGCGAGTATGATACTTCCTGTGCACCATTCATAGATGAGTCGGAAGGGCGTGTTTATATGAAACATCGATAAACAGATTCCGCGAAGCATTGACTTGAAACTGACTCTTTTGCAATTTCTAGCATTATGAGATGACTCATGACTTACGAGTCTATCCGCGTAATTATGCTTAATCCCATCAAGATTACGACGATATACGTGCTGTTTCCTGATTCCAATCGACCTCTCTTTCTCCTGAGAACTATGGCACTATTGTTAAAATTCAAGAGGAAACCTTATAATATGGAAAGAAATCGGCAAATCGCTAAATTGGACTCATGCATTTGTTGCAACAATTGGATCTTTTAACTAATCACATCTATCGCGTTCATCGACAGGGAATTTATCTCAACGCTGGAGAACATCGTCATTCTCCGGATGCTGTGCGTCACAAATAAAATACAATGCTTAAGCTGCTTTAAGCATGCGGATTTTTCAATTTTTGCTTCCTCATAGAGGAAGCTTTGTGAGCGAAATAAAAATTAAAATAATTTCTTTCATCGATCCTCACTAAATTCATCAAACATCCTTTAATAATACTCTATTCATGTAAAAAAATTTAATACAATATCTTAAATTTTCTGAAAGTTACACAAATTTTATAAAAAATAAATCTTTTCGTCGATTCTCACCAAATTCAATACCAACAATCTTTGAATGATACTCTATCCATGTAAAAAAAAATTAACCCGGTATCTCAAAAATTGCGGAAGTTAGAGGTTGTACAAAATCACGCACACACACACGCACACACACACGCACACACACACACACACACACACACAGACATACATACAGACATTTTTTAGGAATATGATTTTTCGACGTTTTGGAACATTCTAAACACATTGGCATAGAAAACTCGAAAAAAAATTTTGTCACGAAAACAAAGCTTCCTCTATGAGAAAGCAAAAAAAAAAATATGTAAATTATTTATAATACATGCGGACCAATTCATCATGCGCACATGTGTATTACAACATATAAACGCAGATATAAATCGGTTCACATATGTATTGTACAAACGTTTCTCGCCACGCGCGGCCGCGATCTGACTGATCTTGAACTACATGTTCCACTTCGCTTTTATGATTGGCGCTCTCTTTAACAGTCTGATAGTGACCACACGTTATCTGTAAGAATCGTGATTAATATGGCAGCGGCTTGCAATAATAAAAAGCATAAACAACCACGCCCAACCGACTGATGCTTGAGATAGGATAGTCTCACGATGATCTGGAATGTATGTAGCTGCAAATGGTCTAGGCCATTTTACCAGACCTTGAGTAGTTATAGCGAAGTTTAAATACATATGTGCATATTCCGTGCCGTATAGCATCGCTATACATATAGCTAGCTCGTATATATCCATTTACATAACACGCTTACATATTTATCGTGAATATTATATATAATACAGGAAAATATGATTCATAATTAGTTCTTAAATAGTTTTGAGCTATCTGCATCAAACATGTCTTTTATCTCGCGTTGAGCTGGAAAAAAATATGTGTCTCTCTAGCACTTATTATTTACATTTATCATTAATATTACAATTATATATATAATTGTAATATTTTCAAAAATATATAGACAATAATTTCCAT